TCAGTGTGAGTAGATGTTGAACATGTCATCTTTTCCTGTAAATGGTCATCACTTAATACCCAGTTTCCAGTAACTTTCCAGCTCTGCAATCATGTGCAGTTCACAGCCCCATCTTTATGCGGGATTTAACAACTCTTGCTGCAGACTTTGAAAATGAGCTGCCATAGGCTTTAAAAACAGATATTTATTAAACCTTATCTACAGTCTGGACCTGGTGAACAGAGAGAGACCTTACAGAGAACTTAGGCTCCGGCCATTCTGTGCTAAGCATCCCTGCATTTGTGACATGATCGCCCTCTAGTGACCAATTTAAAGTAAGCTCCATGTTCATGATCAAACTGTAAAAGTTTACTGATCAAAGCTACCAGATTTGGATTTGATGAGTATCTAAGGGCCTAACTTGTCCAACCATCTGAAAAGACTGCCTTTTAAGGGAACGGAACATAAGATCCAATCCTTACCTCACTCAATAAAGATCTCCCGCACAATGCGTGCTCATCACGTAATCTTTTCATCACCCTTGGCTGTGAATCGCTGAAAGTTACGTTTCGACAAATCAAAAGTGACACATTCTCCTTACGTCAAAACAGAGAGAAATTATCCGTGAGACATGATATGATATCTATTCATCACCTAATTAAAATACACGGATAAAAGGCGGGGTGGTAAAGGGAGGGAGAGAAAAGAAAGATGTGTGAGAGAAAGGATTGCCTCAGACGTCTGTGAATAATGCCAGTCTGTCAAATTGTAAGTCTATTAAGGGAAGGAGGAAAAGAGGCCCGCATCTCTGGAACTGAAGATGTTCGTGATAGTCAATGAAGCCTGTAATATGAGCAACAGGGAGACGAACAGGAAGGGTATGAATCTTCATTGGCAAAGGCAAACACAGACCTCTGTGTCTGTAAACACCTGCGTGTATGAATGTGAGCAGGGAAAGGAATGAGTGGGGTTGAAAGTCTTCTAAAGACTCCGAGAGAGGCAGGGAGAAAGAGGAAGGGGGGTTAATGAGATCTTTATGTATGTTTTGTTATGGTAAAAAAGAAAATATTTTAAGAATCTGAACACAATATTTGTTTTACTCTGAGCAGATGGAGCAAGTGACTGGAGATTAAGTGGCTTAAACAGTAGATATTTAGATCCCACAGACCCAGGGTCTGGAAGCTTGAGGTCAGGTGCCAGCATAGCTCAGGCATGGAATCTTCTCGACCACAGAAGGCCAATTTCATTTTGTATCTCATATGCCAGAATGAGAGGGAGATTTCTCTGAGATCCTGGATGTTGGGTACTGTAGGAGCCCATTTTCGGGTTCCTCTCGGCTTTACCCAGCAGGTCCACATAGAGAATGATTAGGACCACGGGCCTGAGTGCAGGTGTCTGGGATGCTCTGCACTTGGCTGTGCTGGGGGAGGAGGTCTTTTGTTCCACCCCTTGGCGTCTCTATAAATACCTTGGGGCAGAGACAGTCGGGGCCCGTTGGAATAGGTTCCAGGCCCTCTCGAGGCTATCCTTTATTTTCTATCTGTTTATCTCCGCAAGATTCTCTGCAATAAATCCTTCTATCTAATATTTCCTGCTGCTCACACTCAAGAAAACTCTGGGGAGCTGTGGGGTTGGTGGGTAAATGCCCCACAGGGTACTGATCCAATTTTTAAAGATGCTGTTCTCATGACCTAGTCACCTCACAAGAGCCCTGCTTCCCAATACCATCACAAAGCTTACGGTTTTGAGAGAATATAAACACTGGGTCCTTAACACCCTTCCTTCATAAATAGAGGAGCCACTGAGGACCAAACCTTTACCTCCCCTGCCTTCTTGTCTTTCCACCTCACTTTGTCCCCAATACAATGCCAGTTTCCTGGTGTCCTGGCTTCCCCAGGAAACAGAGAGTCCTAGCACATCTTGTCCATGACATCTTTAATCTAGTCAGCCCCTCATGAATATTATATCCACAAAACTTTCATAGTCTCTAGATTAATAAGTACTTTTGAGGCTTATTTTATCCCAGTCCTTATTAATCATTTATTTGTATCATCTACTTTTCAGACAAAAAAAAGGTATGATTTGAATAATTACTCAGAATAAGGCATGGAATCTTTAGAGTGCCCGAGTCAGTTTTATAACACATGTCTAATTAACTCTATGCAGGTCAATGGTATAACCTGCTGCTGGACTCACCAAGGGGACAGAGAGCCTCTACGGCCTTCCCTCAACCTGCCAGAACCCACCTGTCCTCGGAGGCTTGAATTGCTCTTGGTTATCTCGTGCTGTCCCTTTGCACTTCTAACATTTTGATCAGTGTTACTGTGTTAGTAAATTCAGGCTGCAATCACACAGTCCCATAGGCTGTGAGTCATAAACAACAAACCTGCGTGCCTCACAGTTCAGAAAGCTGCAAGTCCATGGCAGATTTGAGCTCCAGGGAGGGCTTGCTCATTCCGTGGCTCGCCAAGTGCTGCAGTCTTGCTGTGCCCTTACATGGGGGTCAAAGCAAGACTACCGGCTTTAAGAATGCTGACTCCAACACGAGCTTGTCTCCTGTCATTTATACGGCATCTAAGTTTAATTACCTTCCAAAGCCCCACCTCTGAGTGCTATACCATTGGGGGTTATGACTCTGAATTCGGGGGTGAGAGAGACATAGTCCATGATGAACTTTATCCAGCCTGTTCACATACTCTGCAGGCAGTACATTCGTCTTCTTTTCTGCCAAGTCTGTGGAGTCCCAAAATGGCAGGGACATTGCTTTTTCTTTTTCAGTGCCTAAAACAGTCCCTGACACATTTCCCCTCTTCCTTCCTCCGTTCTCTGATGTCGAGATCTAAATGTCATTTCTTTAAACTCCGAGACTGATGTAGGGGAGGCAAGAAGGTCAGGGAGGAATGAATACAGCAGGGTGTGATGAGCAGGAGCACACAGCAGGTCTGTAGTGCCGGGACCCTCACACTCTTCAGGAAGCGTAGGAAGAGCCCGGAGTCAGGAAGGTCTCCGGAAGTGGTTTCATGGGGGCTGAGATCAGCATGCTGGAGAAGGGATGACTTACTGAGGAAGACAGAGAAGGACTATGTCTGGAACCAAGTTCTAGAAGTACATAGCAACTGGAAGCATGGCCCAGCTGGGTGAGTGATACCCGGAAAAGACATAGGAAAAGAGGCGCGGACGGGCTGCATGAGGACATATCCTTCTGGAATTATTTGGGTTGCAGGGGGCATAAAACCAACCACAGCAAAGATCTGCTGATGCCATAGTTACAGGCTGTAGTTGAAGAATAAAGTAAGGCCTTAGACTCCAAGCTGACATGCTTGCCTTTTATCCTCATTAGCAAGAAGCATCTAACAGATCTCAGCCTCTTCTTAGGCTAACGGTATAGCCTTAGCTTTAACTCCATTGGTCAGTAAGAAAGCATATGCTCAGAAATTGTCTCATCACCCATTTAATTAAACTCATTGATTTTTTTTTAAATGTCTGTGAAGATAATGGGGCTTATACTATTTTAGAAGCAATGAATAAATCAGCAGGAAAGGAAGGGAACTGAACAAAAGACTAAACAGCGAGTCATTTTTAGATGAAGTTGAGTCAACTTAAAAAATGATGAAGGGCTTTCTCAATGTGTGTGCTGGACACGATGCTGGCAGTGTCATGCACAGAAATGAACATGTTTGTCATGGCTCTTCTGGAGCAGGGTCCCTGGTTTTGATGCCCATGGACAAAAGTCATGCAGTTTAGTTTTTGCTACTTAGTCTCTGGGCTCCTTAAACTATTCCCCTTATTGTTTTTATTCTAACTTCAGGTATCTAGGTATCGAAAATAGAAATGCAAAGTGAACATTTATCAATACTAATTCATAGATTTGTCTTAAAACAAATCTTCACATTCATAGAGTTTTACCATTTATTAGAGATAAAAAGGAAAATTTACATAATAATGAGATAGATGGGTTTATTTTACATAAAAATTGTATTTGTTGAATCTTTTATATGGAACTAGACATTTGACTCACACTTGCAATTTTAGAACTTAGAAGGCTGAGGCACAAAGATGGCCTTGGCTTTGGGGTCAGTGTGAGCTATATAATGAATTCCAGAGCAACCTGAGCTAGAACATAAACAAAAATATAGAGCAACAAAACAACCAACCAAAACCCAAAACAATAGCAAAAACCAATCGATACTATAAGACTTAGAACATCATTAATGTTTTCCAAAGTTGGTCCATGTTTAATTTTATAATTCTCTACATCGAGAATGCTGCCTTCATTTGCATAAATACGTAGTACAAATCAGTTTAAGTATATTTAGGACTTTCAGAAACTGGGAATCCTAATCTCAAGATGAACTTCATCGAACAAGTTTTCATGAAATGCAAGTCAGCCATTCAAACAGTACTAAAAACCAAATTCTAACACAGCACACTCTGAACATACACTAATTTGATACATGCTGAAGAAAGATGGAAAATATTGTCTTTATTTTCTGTAATTAAACCATTCTGCTTCAATAAGAGATGAAAACTTGTATATACAGTGAGAGCACTGTAGCTCATAACAGACAGTATTCTGGGACCTGAGTCTGCTTCTATAAGAGATGAAAACTTGGTATATACAGTTAAAGCACTGTACCTCATAACAAACGGTATTCTGGGACCTGAGGTATTTCATGCAGTGTTTGCTGCTGGCACACAGGATGTATACAATGTGCACTGTAGAATGTATATGTCATGTGTTCAGAACCAAGGCTGCAGTGAAGTCACACAATGCAACATTTGTGAGTGTCAGAAACACCTCGGATTCATTGTGTGCTTTATTTTGAATTACGTTTTGGCCACTGTATATTCAGAAATCTTTGATTTTTTTTATACATTATTTTACAACTCTCATGCATGGTTGTGTAACCAGGACCCAGAGTTTTAGAAGCTGTGATTTAAATCAAGTAAAGTAGACTTTGAGAGTGGAAAGCTTTAAAAGGTTGTTTTTAATATTCAGATTTGTATGTGTTTTTTGTTAGGTCAATGTGAGCCAATCACTCTGGAACTCTGCATGAATTTGCCCTACAACCATACACATTATCCAAATTACCTTGGCCACGGGACTCAAAAGGAAGCGTCTATCAGCTGGGAGTCATCTCTCTTCCCTGCACTTGTTCAAACCAACTGTTACAAATACCTCATGTTTTTTGCTTGCACCATTTTGGTTCCAAAGTGTGATGTGAAAACAGGCCAACGCATCCCCCCTTGCAGGTAAAATAATGAACTATCTACATGCTATCTCAGAGAGAACCAAAAGAATACAAAGTTGAGTTAGACAAAATAAATATTGCCAAGGACTCTGAAAGTTAACAAATTCAAAAGATAAAGAAGACAGAAGAAAATGAGTATTTGAGTAAGAATTCATCCTTCAAGCACCAAACATGGAAGGTGTTACCTTTCTTCTATGACAGGTCACGTGCTTTTATCTATCTGTGTTCTGATTTGATGGATCACAAAGTATCCTCTTGAATGTAAGTTAAGGTTGGGGTTCTGCTCAGTGGTAGAGCATCCTTTAGAATATATGAGGTCCTGGGTTGGATCACTAGCACCCTAAAGCAAAGCAAAGCAAAAGAGAGTGTGAGGGAGCTGAGGAAGGGGCTGTGCCTGCCACTTTGTCCGGAAACACTGATGTATCCATTTTTTTAGATTAATTAAATGTGTCCTTCATCAGTGTGTTGAAGATGCTGTCCTGTGATAGTCCTTACAGGTTAGTGTGACTCCATAGGGAGATAGGCTAGGCATGCGCAGGAGGGACAGTGATGCACATCACTGACATTTTTCTGAATGAAAGTAAGGCAACATCTCAAGAACAGAGCTTAAACCTTGGGACTGAACAATATCCGAGGGCCAGTACTATTGCTGTGGTGTCCATGGTTAGCGTCAAGTCTTCTCTAGCTGCTTTGTGCTCTTAAGACAAACTACTCAGTCTCTTTGGTCCTCAGGTCCTTTCACTGGTGAAGTAAGTGTTTTGTTTGTTGAGTTTTGTTTCAGCAAGAGTTCAAGAAAGGACTGTGAAGTTAAGTAAATGCCGAGGCTCCCGAATTGGATGAAAGCTCTGTGGTGACTCGTGGAGCTATGAAGATAGCACATGGGCTCAATTGCTTGGTGGCAGCTGTGCCCCTTTCTGGGCCACATGTTAGAGGTTGTAGTCAGAGAATGTGCATATCCAAGATGACAATCCCAGAAGTGACTGTTGCTACATTCTGCAATGCTGTCTTGCAATGAAGGGTGGCTATGTGGATGCACTAGCCTGAATGTGAGAGGTAACTTACAGAAACCATATGTTGGGAGCAGAAGTCATATGGAGCTTTAAGAAGAAGAAATAATATCAGTATAGTAGACAGATGGGAAAACAATAAATTTAAGGCTGTATATCAAGTGGATGATGAAGGAGGGCATCTCTAGAGTCAGGGCAGGAAACAATAAGATTTCAGAATGACTCGGCAGCTGAACAAATCATACAAGAAGAAGAGAGTAAAATTTAATGTTTGCTTGGACAAAAGTAATTCTGAAAATTTTATTACATACCCAATGAAGTATTGTTAGAGTATCTACTGACTGCATATTGAAAAGTTATTTGTAAATCTTACTCTGTTTTTCCTAAGCAAGGTCAATGATGATAGTGAATTGCTACTTTGAACAGGTTTTCCCAAACTGTGTTTGATTTTCTTTTTATACCTATGTAAAATTCCCCTAATGTTATAACTATAGTTATAAATGTATATCTATATTGAATTTTATGGCTTAAGTTTTATAACCTAAAATGACTGGTTGCAAATGGTTCTGAGATATTGAGTGAACTTGTTGATAAACTTCTTTCGGTGACTTTAATTCTGTTTTTTAGCTTTAATGATATATGTCTTTCAATCTTCAGTGACAGCAATGCATGCATAAATCTATTTCATTATAACAAACTAATATGCTCCTAAGCTTATGAATTAATGCATGACTGCTTCTGCTGAGTTTGTTTACTAACCTTAACCCTTAATTTTTGAGTTACACATCTGAAGATAACGAACCTTACTGAGCCTCCCAATGTCACAAAAGCTTGAAGATTATTGTGTCTCATGTTCAAAATCCCCTTTGACTGAGGTTACACTATCATGTCAGGTGCCTACCACTGAGGGCCACACAGATTTTGACAAGAACTTCCTTGAACTTCTGGGATTGCTATTAGTATTATTTTCATTTTATAGTAAAATTCAGAAGTGGTAGAGTCAATGGTTACCTTAAAATGGCAGCTATGGCTGAGTTTGTACATTTGTTATACATTGTTATATCTAGCAAAACTCTAATCCCGAATTAGTGCCTGAATAATATTGAACTTACCATTTTTTTCAAACTGAATATGAAAATGACCCATATTCATTATTGTTGAAAATTCCAAGCCTAAACTAGAAATTGAATTTTATCTTTAGAATAAGCAAGGAAGCAGTATTTATGGAAGCTGAAGAAGGGGAAACAGAGGCAGAGCCCCTGGTAAACCAGCATAGCATATGACCCTTCCACCCCACTACTCATCAGAGGAATGCTCAGCTGGAGGCTCTTGTATTGGCTCATGGTCCATGGTGACAGATGATATCACTATATTGGGCATTCCTCTGCTTAGAACCAAAAGCTGGAGAATGTTGGCCTGAAACAGTAAAGTAGAAAGCCAAAGTGAGGGGATCTGTGTCTTGGAGAGAATTTCATTTTTCTGTTTTCAGTGCAATCTCTCTTGGTGAAAGCAGGTGGGTCCTCTTTGTAGAGATATTGATTGTTTGGGTTTTCTAAATGCCGATTGTGTATCTATGCACGCTGATAGGTTTCTGCATACTTCCTTATACATACAATCCAGCAAAGCTTTAAACCCTTACTGCACTCTAAGCATACACTTGCAGTGGAGCTGGATGACTTCTGACACGTTGTCTTTCTGCTCGCAGACCCCTGTGTGAGCACTCCAAAGAGCGCTGTGAGTCCGTTCTTGGGATCGTGGGCCTCCAGTGGCCTGAAGACACAGATTGCAATCAATTTCCAGAGGAAAATTCAGACAATCAAACTTGCCTCCTGCCCAGTGAAGATGTGGAAGGTTAATGTTCCAGTTTATTCTAGTAGGGCATCTAACATGGATGAACATGTCAGCCAGTTTTTGCTGTCTCTGAATTAGGAAGGGTTGTTGCTGGCTTTCTATTTAGTTATCAATTAGACTTTGTAGGTGAGTTATGCCAGAAATGACTTGATCACCCTAAAAGGCTCTGGCATGTAAGTGTCAGCTGTTATCATTGCTATCACATGTAAAATAATTTTAAGAAATGAAAATGAACTCAGAGATGAGCTTACTCATCCAGAAACTTCCCACTTTATGTATACTCTACTTACACAACTAGTTATTTGTGGATGCTGTTCCTTTTAGGAGCCATGACACTAGTGATAAACACCAACCCTTGGTTCTTCCAAGTGAGAAGGCAGTGTAGGATTATGAATAGAAAAGTAGATTTGGGGATGGGTGCATCAAATGAAAGATTAGAACCTCTGGGAAGCTGGGATCATGGCTTGCACCAGGGATTTCAAGCTCAGGCCATCGTTAGGTGTCCGTTCAGAAAGGGAACTGGTTATTGCAAAGCACAGGTGCTAAGTGCTGATCTGGAGAGAGGGTACCAAGGGTGAAGGAGAGGGATGGAGATGAGCAGCGGGAAGAAAGCCAAGTGAACTCCAGGCGCTTTAGCTGTGTGAGGCCTGTTCTATCTTCAGTACTTGCCTGTTCTCAACACCCCAACTGGAAACACAGATGTTAGTTGATGTCTTTGCAATTCTGTCCACTGAGAGCAGCCCTGCTTTTTGACAGAATGTTCTCCGAGCCACTTCAAGTGTCGCTCAGGGCGGTGCGTGCTGGGTTCCAGAAGATGTGACGGTCAGGCTGACTGTGATGATGACAGTGATGAAGAGAACTGTGGTAAGTGTGGGAGACAGCTTTCATATGTAAACGGCTGCTTGTTCTAAGAGGTGGCGTCCCGTCTAATGCTAATGCATTTTCTCCTGACATCGACAAGCCGTAAGGCATGAATTGATAGGATTTTTCTACTAGATTACATTTTAATTTATAATAAAGTTATAATTTACATCCTTAATTTTATATATGTATAATATATATAAAGGAAATATATATATGTATATATGTATGTATATATATAAAGGTCACAAATGTGAGGAACCATTTTTGTTATTAAATTGCAAAGCAGTTGTTATTTGGTTTATGGGAAGAATAATGATGTCTTGGCGTAGCCTTCGAGAGCTGCTAATCAGGCATCTGTATCCATGTAGACAGTTCAGGCCACAATGCTCACATTTAATTGAGATTCATTTTCATGCCCCTCTCGTCTCTGCCTCTGTTGAGATAAAACTCTGCTTGACACTTTTTCCGTTGAGCCCCAGAGTCACCCATGGAAAGGCTGAAGATGTCACTGGCAATTTGAACACAACCGTTCTCAGTTTATTGTCCTGAAAACCGTAGTTCTTGTAAGCTGAGCATGTCCAGGGATCAGAACACAGACGGTGTTTTTCAACACACAATGCCTGCCATACAGCAGAATGATTGAGGTGTTATCTAACAGCTAGCTTGCTTATGATTATTTAGTCTGTCATACCCCCAAATAAAATTGACACTTTATTCATTGGAAGCACGTACGACAATATATCTTTTGAGATCATTTCATTCCCTTGGCTTTTGAAGTATGAAATATTGCCTTCCCCCTCAAAATGAATTTTCATAGTGAATGTTGTCCTCCTGGTCAAAACAAAATGCCATAAGCAATCAACTGAACCACTATCAGCTACTATAAATATGGACACGCACATCACATCCTCTGGAAGATTACAGCTGTCAGGAAGATGGTACAGAGGTCAGTGTAATTTTGCTAGGGAGCAATATTTAATAATTTGAGAACTTACTATCGTTTGCCTGTTTGTGAGCTTTCTATAAAAAGTGAAAATAAAAAATTCACTGACTGTTACATCAATAGTATTTCCAGAATGAATTAGATTGTTCACTTAAAACCTTGGCTGGGGTGTGGTATTCTAACATATGATTTAAGAGAGATTGTCTTAGATTATTCAAAGTGATTATATGACTCTATGGAAGTGACTACATTTTCCGTGGCTGACTAAATGTTTGTCAAGTGCTTAGTTTAAACCAGAATGGGTTATGCTGCTTGGGGGTGCACACCTGAAGTCCCAGCCCTCGGGAGGTGGAAGCAGAAGGTTGAGAGGCGAAGGTTCTCTTCAGCTATACAGTGAGTTCGAAGCTAACCAGGGCTGCTACATGAGGTCTCGAGTCGAGAAAACAAAACAAAACAAATAAAAAAAAATTCATCCTGGCAAGAATAAATGGTCTTCATTCTAAAATACATTATGAAACATAAATTCACAGTACTGTAATATAGTACTTAAATGACCCTAAAATATCAAGATTCTAGTTAAATAATAAGTTTTCATAAAAATTTTAATCTTATAATGGACAGAATACCACAGCGGTAAAATAAACTAAGCTTTATTTCATTTTCAAAATATCATATCTACCATTGATAGCCCTGCTATAAAAAGTTAGAAATGGATGAGAAATTAATTCATTTGGAGCTAAACTGATTGTTTTAATAGTAATAATTTACATGAGAAAATTTACACTGAGTTTTCCAAAGTGACCCATGATGGACAAGTCCCCCTTTGGCATGCTTGCATGTGCTCAGATGGGCTGTCCAGTGTGCTGGGAAGACACATCACTGATGATTAGATAAAGAAGTCAAACTGTCAGGCCCCAAGGGACTCTGGGTACGTCATCCAGTTTATTCTCTGCTGTTAACCTCTCTTTTCATGTGCACATAGGCCCATGAGGAAATAGAAACAGGGAAGTTGGGTTACATTCCACTGTTCCCATTGCTCTGACTTACTCTATGTCTCTTGCATTTAAGGCACTCAGTGCTTGGGACTGCCTATCATGAATCCACAGCTTGCATGGAAGTTTTAACAACACTATTGGGGTTCCCTTCAAAACAACACTTACTTTAGTTGTGAAACATTCGACGTGCCAGGAATTAAACTGATTGTGTATTTCTTTAGCAATTTTGTATCTGGAAATGTGATTACCAACGCACATAAATTATAGATGTGCTTTCAAAAATCAATGTGTAAGAACTTAGCAAAGAGAATTTTGCTCCTAGTGGGCTCCTGTTCTCATGATTAAATTTTTCGTTGTTGCAATTGCTAACGTAAACAAGCACTGCAAAGTTTGTTACTATTCAGCAGTTCAACAAATGCTTGGAAGGACTGTGCAAGCCTGAAAGATCACCAAAGAACTTATTCACGGGAAAGAAGCCCTGGAGACATGGAAGGGATTAGCAGATTCGGCAGTTAGTATAGAAGCAATTCCTCATCTTACAGGTTGATAGCTTGTCAGTGATAAAAACATATAACAAATCCATATACATTTATACTAGTAACTGGATAAACCAAGTTTCAGCATAACACGTTCCATGAGCCAAACAGTGGGAAACAAACAGGCCTGAACAGAGAAGCAAACAGGAAAGACACAAAGAAAACAGCAACGTGCCGAGGACCATGTCTGGACCCATGGCCCTACCAGCCAGGGTCTGTGTTGAGGTCCATGGTTCCTGTTACCATTCAAGGCCATGAGTTTGCCCAGGGTCTGGGCAACCACCTGAGGCCATATTGGAATCCAGGGACCATGCTGCTGTTGGGCCCATGATGATCTGAGCCGCCTGTGCTACCACCGCGGGCCATGGTGACTGACATCCAGGCCCAAGCTGCTGCGGCTGGCCATATCTGGGTCTGTGATTCTGCTGCAGCTAGGGTCTGTGTTGATGTCCGTTGCCTGTGTTACCACATGGGTCCATGTAAGCCATGTGTTGAACAATATGTTGAAGTACAAGGGCCAAGGGCCATGCTTCACTGGCCCTGCCCTTCACCGGCCCAAGAGAATCCCCCCCAATCAGAGAGCTGACACCCCCTCCCTTGCTGGCCCTAGGATAATGGACCCTGATGATCCGGGCATGGGAGAGCTGGCCCCACACCCCTCATAGGAGAGCTGCCCCCCCAAGTTGGGAAAGATGGCCCCAACCCTCACCACAGGTGTGAGAGAACTGGCTCTGCCACTCATCTGAGGCGGGTGGTCCCAGCATCCCGACTGACCAACTCAGCTACCACCCAGGAACACATGAGGTCTTTGAGTTGGCAATCCCCATCTACGACCTGCTAGCACATGTGAAGGGACTGGGGAACCATAGCTACAGGATCTCCATGACTCAGGGCAAAAGCAGGATATCTGAGAGGAGTTTTGGCGAGGGTCCAGCATCAATGGTGTGCCAGAAGACAGAAGCCCTTGAACCAGAGCAACAACTCATTACACAGTGAACATCTGCAAGTGAAGCTATTTGGACAAAAGCGTCTACCTCATGATACCCAGCAGCTCCCAGTGCCACTGAGATGGATGAAGAGGCCATGGAGGAGTGGGAAGGGTGGAGCAGCAAAGTGGTTTTTCTGTTTGTTTGCTTGCTTTTTTGTTTGTTTTAGGTTTTTTGTTTACTATTCTTATTTTTTTTAATTTTTATTATTTCTTTTTAAGTTTTCCTTTGGGAAGGAGATGGTATAAGGGTGAAGGGCAGATACAGAGGGACTGGGCAATGAGTGGGATTGGGGGGCACGATATGAAATTCCCAAAGAATCAATAAAAAGTTATGTTAAAAAAAGAAAACACCTGCAGTCTCCACGCCCTGCCCCCACTCCCATCCCCCTGAGCCCCAAGCCTCTTCCTGAGACTTAGAGGCCGGCCCCCAGCTCCCATCTTGCTCCGGACTTCCCTTTTGGAAAACTGGTGAGTGCCCTTCCTTGCCCCGGACCCCATCCCTGGGCACCAGCCACTCCAGGGAAGACCTGCCCAACTTGGCCCCAGGTTCTGGCCACCGGGCAGGTTCCCTGCTAGCCCCACCGGGAAGGATCCCCTTCTCCAAGACCCCTGGCAGGCCCTGCAGTCTCCACGCCCTGCCCCCACGCCCATCCGCCTGAGCCCCAAGCCTCTTCCTGAGACTTAGAGGCCGGCCCCCAGCTCCCATCTTGCTCTGGACTTCCCTTTTGGAACACTGGTCTGTCTGAACCAAGTGTGGGGATAAGGCCAGTAACGAACCACAAGGAGATGGGCAGACGTCAAGGCAGAAACATATACAACAAAATGAATAGCAATACAGCATCACCAGGCCCTAGCCCTCCTCCAACACCTAGACCTGAACATCAGAAATTGGAAGAAGCAGAAGAAAACAGCCTTATGAATGACATCATGAAGAAGCTAGAGGCTTGTGTAGAGGAAAAGACAAAAAAATGTGAAGAACGCTGTAAACAACTAGAGGAAAGGGCAAACAAATTAGAAGAAATCAATAAAGTCCTGGAAGAAAACAATAAAATACTGAGAGAAAATCAAGAAAAATCAATGAAACAAATGAAGGAAACAGTCCAAGACCTGAAAAGGGAAATAGAAAAAATGAAGAAGACACAAACAGAGGGAATGCTGGAAATAGAAAATCTGAGAAAACGATTGGGAACTTCAGATGCAAGTATAATCAACAGAATGCAAGAGATGGAAGAGAGGATCTCTAGCGTTGAAGATACAGTAGAAGAAATACATTCATCAGTCAAAGAAAACACTAAAGCCAACAAAGTCATGAACCAAAATGTCCAAGAAATTTGGGACACCATGAAAAGACCAAACCTAAGAATAATAGGGGTCGAAGAAGGAGAAGAATACCAACTCAAGGGCACAGAAAATATATTCAACAAGATCATAGAAGAAAACTTTCCCAACTTAAAGAAGGAAATGCCTATGAAGATACAAGAAGCTTATAGAACACCAAACAGACTAGACCCCCAAAAAAAGTCCCCTCGCCACATAAT